CAATGAGGCTGGGGAAGGGTCTGGAGCACAAGTGCTGTGAGGAGCAGCTGAGGGAGCTGGGGGGGCTCAGCCTGGAGAGGAGGAGGTTCAGGGGAGACCTTCTTACTCTCTGCAACTCCCTGACAGAAGGGGGCAGCTGGGAGGGTTGGGCTCTTGTCCCAGGAAGCAGCAGTAGGACAAGAGGGCATGGTCTTCAGCTGTGCCAGGGGAGGTTTAGGTTGGATATTAGGAAAAATTTTTTTCCAGAGAGTGATCAGCCCTTGGAATGGGCTGCCCAGGGAGGGGTGGAGTCACCGTCCCTGGAGGTTTTTAAGATGAGACTCGATGTGGCATCAGTGCCATGGTCTGGTCACCGTGGCAGTGTTGGATCAAGGATTGAACTTGATGATCTTGGAGGTCTTTTCCAACCCAGTTGATTCTATGATTATTGAAGCAATTATATTAAAGCTAGCAAAAAGAAATAATTATTAATTAGAGATCGATGTAACTCACCCAGACCAACTGAGGAGATCTCTTTCTTTCTACCTCCAGGAGTGACCCTGGGGGATGTCTCCAGCCAAGGGGGGAATCTCCACTCACAGACCCCAGGAAGGGTTATGTCAGAAGAACCTGACTGGATGAAAGAGGACTGGACTTTTATAGTACAAAGTGATTGACTGCCAATCAGAGATTTGTACGCCAGCTCCCAGCTTATCTGTCACATCCTGCTTCTGAAAGCAGGGGGTGTGTTTGTAATTTGGTGAATCAGGCTGGTTTTAGCACAGTTTAACATCAAAACCCACACCCTGGCACTGCCAGTAACTCTACACAGAGAGCTGGCATTGATTGCATTCTCTGACTGCATTTTAGGTCTTATGGGGTAGAACACCCTGCCCCAATCCCCCACTGTGTGGCTGCTGGGGCCACCCCTGCCCACAGGAACCCTCAGGGCAGGTGCCAGCGCCCTTCCAGAAGAAGATCAGAGTCAGTTGATCTCAGGGTCAGTTGATCTCAGAGTCAGTTGATCTCAGGGTCAGTTGATCTCAGAGTCAGTTGATCTCAGGGTCAGTTGATCTCAGGGTCAGTTGATCTCAGGGTCAATTGATCTCAGGGTCAGTTGATCTCAGAGTCAGTTGATCTCAGAGTCAGTTGGTCTCAGGGTCAGTTGATCTCAGGGTCAGTTGCCCAGAGCACCGTGAACTTCTCATTTGTGGCTACTGCTCTGCTTAAAAACTGTGTAACACAATTCATAAAACTACAGCTCCTTAATTGTGCAAATGAAATAGTGAGTAACTGTCAGGATTTAATCATCTCACAGATTATTAAAACTGTGAGAATATTAAATATAATTTTTTTCAGTGTTGTGTAATTTTTATAGGGGGACATTTGATGTTCAGTGTGTTCCATATAAACCTCATTTTTTTAAATAGAGGGGTAATTTTTTTAAAGAAAAGTAAGATATACAAGGGACCAAGACCGAAAATACAGACCAGGTATAACCTGAAGCCTCAAAATTAGGGATGGCTTTTACAAACCCCCCTCACATTCCTTTATTTTTTTTTCATTACGTCTTTTAAAAAACAGTCTTATGGCTGCTGGGGAAGCAAGTTGATGTTAGGAGTGTTCTGGCACCACTGGTTTTACTTGCTCTGGATTATTTTCCATGCTCTTTGTGCATGTGTGCTGTTCAGGGCACAGCAATGAGGTGATTTTGTCCTGCCTTGCCCCAGAGCTGTTCTCCAGTCCTATGGCTCTGGGCCAGAGGGTTTGAACTATGGATATATTGTAAAATACAAGGCAATTTTTTTTTTAAGGAATAAATTCCTTTATAGCCAAAGAGAAGAAAATATGGAAATAATATAATTATTTATTTGGATTTCTTAGGAACTTATGATACAAGACCTTAACTTGAGGCCAGTTTGACCAGATGGTGTCGTTAGAACAGTTCCCTTCAGTGACAAGAGCAAGCATTTTTTTCCAATAAATTTACAAAAGCTTGTTGTGCTCTGTCTGGCACAAGGAAATAACTTGTGTGGAGTAGCAACCTTGGAGTTGTTCTTTTCTTTAAAGCCTCAGTCCATGCTCTGGGTTTTGAGGGTTTCATCTCCTCCTTGTCCCCCCCAGATGTGTCTTTCCAAAGATCCCTGTTCCCTGTGGCCCTTCCCTGACTCAGGGCTGTGTGTCAGGGACCCTCCTGTGTTGCTCTGTGATGGAAACCAGGATTCCTGTCACGAAGCCAGTGTTGTGTTCCCTCCAGCTGTGGGAGAATGAGAGAACTTTGCATGTGTGAAGGTATGAACCCACAGAGCTGCTGCCACCCCAGCTCCACATTAACTAGTTCTGACAGAGAGAAACTGTCAAGGAAACCTGAAGTGACAAAGCAACTTGTCTGTGATTCAATGAATGAAAACCCATTTTCTCTGAGAAAACAATGCTCCTTGCCCTGATGGTGTGAAGAGCCTTGTTTTGCTGGCAAAGTCTCATTTTGAGATATAAACTCAAGCCCCTCCTGCTTCCAGCCATCAGAGAGGATCATGGAGGGGGTTGCAAAGGCAGGAGTGGAGTCCTCCAGCCCTTTGGATCATATTTCATTTTGTCCAATGTTTTTTGTCTCTCTCAATTTCCATGACAACTCTAAGTGACAAATGTACTGTTCATTATGTGGACAAAAATAGCCACATTGCACAGGTTCCCATCTGCTGCCCCGTCGTGCCATTCCTGCTTGGAAACAGTGATGTGTCAGTGTTGGACTAAGTTTCCTGGAAAAATTCCCAGCAGAGGTATTGAAAAGCAATTAATATTCACAGATTGAGATAGCTTTCACTCCACTGGCTTTTAAATAGCAGCATCTCTTATTAATACCATCACTCTTAATAAATGCAATTAAAATTGTTGACTAATGACAATTTTAGTGTTAATTTCTATAATACAGGCTTTTTACTTGCAATTAGAGCTTTCTTGATTTTGCAATGTGTTGTTCAGGGAGAGAGTGAGACTATCATCCCTGATTACATGTCTGTCATTTGATAAGAAAAAAGCAATATTTTGGAGTCTCCCTTGTTAACATCAACCAAGGGACTTCTCGAAGCAGCAGCAGCCAAAGTTCTGAAGAGATATTTTAAATGAATCATGTCAAAAGTCAACAGTGATGTTTTATATAAGCACTTGCACTGAGAATCTACTGAATTCAACATTTACCATGGTGTTGTGCTCTGCTCTGAGAGGTGCATCAAGCACATTTATTGCTGCAAGGACCAGGGTTTGGTGGATCAGAATATTCCATCATTCCTGGGAATTTCAGTTTCTCCTATTCTGTGCTCTGGTTTCTGGTTTTTCACAGAAAGTAGGATAAGGCACTAGATTTGGAGCAAGTTCATCTGACATTTCTCCATGTTAGTGCTGATCCACACTTGGAAAAAACAGATGCTGAATCACTGCTTTTCCCACACTCTTCCTGACTACATTCTCCAGTTCTCTGGGAGCTTGGCATGGGAATGGGCAGTGTGGGACACCTCTGCCCATCGAGAAGCTTCTGCTTCTCTCTGACTGTGCCCTTCTGTTCCTGTAGAAAACAGCTCAGTCACTGTCTTTTGTCCTTCACTTGTCTTTTCTACTTCATGTTCAACCACTAACAGCTTCAGATTATGCAAAACACTCTGAAGATGTTTGTTTCAGTGAGAATTTTACTTGAAATCCGGAAGAACCTTCTGAGCTGTGCAGTGTGTTCTGCCACCACTTGTGTGAGAGAGAATTGGATTCTTTACTTCTCTGCATAACATTTGTAGTTGCCACTTTCTAACTACAAAATCTAACTAACTAATTTCCATTGTAATTATAATTTATTGACTGCCTTGCTCAGCTGGTTTTGGGGGCATTCTTCAGCTGCCTGTTTCTGCTGCAGACTTGTAGCACTGAGTAACTTGATCGTTGTGTGTGTTTGGCAAATATAAACCTGAGGATTTGAGTTCACTATGTTTGTTGGGATTCCTGGCCCCGTGGTCACCAGGGCTGTGTGGGGAAGGCTCAGTGCCTTGGTGTCACAGAATGTGTGCACCAGACTGTGCAGATAGAGAGGGATGTGCATGGGGAACAGGGAGAGAAAAACAACTGGATAGAGATGACCCGACCCATGGCAGGGAGTTGGAGTGGGATGGTCTTTAAGATCCCTTCCAACCCAAACCATTCTGTGATTCTATAAAAATAATTAATATTCCAACTGTGAAATCCTTTAAAAAAATGGTTTTGGTGATCTGGGTATGTTTGAGTCTGTTTAGCTTTGGACACTGAGCACCCTGGATACCAAAGCACATTTTCCATCAGCTCTTGTGGATTTTGCTGCACAATTCTCCTTGTTTCTGTGGAAGCAATGAGGAGACTGTGGATGTGCAGCTCATGGGAATGTCAGCAATATGCTCTCCTGTCAGACACGGGCTCTAAATTTCCAGCTCTCATCCAAATCAGGGATTTCTGGGATAACAGTCACTCAGAAGTGCTTGTCAGCTGAGATTCTTCAGATCTGGTTTCCAAACAGAAGAGGAGATTTATTTGCTCTCTGAGAAATGGAGGACTATATGGTGGTTGATGCCAAAATGTTTCCTCCTTTCCTGTGCTGTCCTTTCCAAGCACCCATGTCTGTGGTGCCAGGCAGGGGACTGGATAATGTGTGTGGCTGCCCTGGCTGGAGAGGGGCACTGCAGAGATGTGGGTGAGGGTGCCAGGCAGGGCCATGTTAGGTACTGCATGACTTTAGAGCTGACATTCTGAGGGCAGCCTAGAGAGAAGGCCTTCTACAAGAATGAAAAAGCCCTCAGTCCTCCTGTCCTGTGGCCTTGCAAATGGGCTGTGTTTATTCCCGGTCCTCTGATCATGTGCTGACCACAGAGTTGGGAGAAGGAGAATGGTCAAAGTCTGGTCTCAGGCATGGACTCCTGGGGATAGTCCTGTGCAGGGCTAAGAGTTGCGCTTGAAGCTCCTTGTGGGTTCCTTCCCACTCAGCATATTCTGTGCTTGATTTTTTCCAGGCTCTCTCATCCATGGAGGAATTCAGAAACCTGGATCGGGATATTGAAGGGTCTGCGAAAAGGTGGAAGAAATTTATTGAATCTGAGTGTCCTGAGAGGGAGAAGTTCCCCCAGGAGTGGAAGAACAAGTCATCCCTGCAGCGCCTGTGCATCCTGAGGGCCCTGCGGCCCGACCGCGTCACCTGCGCCCTCAGGTGGGACAGCACTACCCTGGGGCTCCTCCTGCCCAGGGAGGGAAACTCGGGATTGTTGCTTCCTGGGGAACAGGAGTAATTCAGGACTATGTTTAGATTTGTTTATTGTAGAATGTGAGTTTTGCGATATGGTCGATTGTGCAATATGATTCCTGTCAAGGAGTCTGGTGAATGAGCGTCACCATTCTGAGGGTGGGGAGGCCCTGGCACAGGTTGCCCAGAGAAGCTGTGGCTGCCCCTGGATCCCCAGAAGTGTCCAAGGCCAGGTTGGATGGGGTTTGGAGCAACCTGGGCTAGTGGAAGGTGTCCCTGCCCTTGGCAGGGAGTGGAATAAGATGAGCTTTTAGATCCCTTCCAACCTAAACGGTTTGCAGAATCCCAAAATCACAGAATATGCTGAGTTGGAAGAGACCCACAAGGATCATCAAGTCCAACCCCTGGCCCTGCACAGGCCCATCCCCAAGAGTCACCCCCTGTACCCCAGAGGATCAGCCAAACCCTCCTGGAGCTCTGGCAGCCTTGGGGCTGTGCCCACTGCCCTGGGGAGCCTGGGCAGTGCCCAACCAGCCTCTGGGGGAAGAACCTTTGGCTGAGATCCAATCTGAGCCTGCCCTGACACAGCTCCAGCCATTCCCTGGCTGCTGTCCCTGGTCCCCCCAGAGCAGAGCTCAGGACCTGCCCTTCCTCTGCCCCTGACCAGGCAGTTGGAACTGCAATGAGATTTCCCCTCAGCCTCCTCCAGCTGAACACACCAAATGCCCTCAGTGTCCTCACACAGATCAAAGCCCTTCCCCATCTTCATTCCTTCCTTTGGACACTCAGAATTGTTCTGTGATTCCATGATCTCTGAACTCTGCAAGACAATCAACAACCATGTAATTTATTTGGAATTTCTTGCTTAGGGGATCTCACCTCCAGATCAGCAGTAGGATGGAGCAGTATCACTGTCAATGGGTGAGGAGCAGAAAGGCCAAGTCAGAAATGAGCATCACCTTGCAGGTGTTACACATCTACTGGAGTCTTTGTGTGATCAACACATGATCTAGAGTTCAATAACATTGATTCTAGTTCCTTTTTGACTGTACCTTAGACACCAGAATAAAGTTTAGAAGTAAAGGGAAGTCTTAGAAAGGTTTTCTCTCTTTTTTTTTCCCTGTAAAGTGCAAAATTTATGTGCTGCTCGTTCTGAATCTTGTAGCTGTAAATAATGTAGTGGAGGTAACTAGGCAAGGCTAAACTTCCCCAAGGTATGCAAAAGCAACACACTTGTTCCAGGAGAAACTAAAGGTCTTTCACTCCAGTAGGAGCTGTTTTTTCCTCCTCTGTCCTGGTAGTCAGTGTTTTGACATTTCTCGAATGTCTCTCATGCTCCTGCCTCTCAAATAGTTTATATTACTGCACCACATGGCATGGGAGTGTAGCAAGGTTATTACTCAGTGTATGAACTAGATCTCTTTGTGCTTTAGAGTTCATAGGAAAATGCAGACAAGACTGAGTGAAGTCTCCCTATGGTCAATGTTATTATGTTTTACTAGAATAAATACTATAATTTATCATAATCATCATAATCTAAACCATCTTTTTCATTTCTTACTCTTATGACTGGATTCTCCATGTGTTTCTCAGCTGGAAATATTGGTTTTCTTGTTGTTGTTTAGCTTGGGTAAAATAAGCTCATGTTTTTCTGAAATTTTAAGTGCATATTTAATTAAGCAAGTTTAATTTATTTCCTTCTTACTCACACAGCTCGGAAATAACTGGAACATCAAATTTCAGCCCCTTTCATATCTCTCTTTTATGAAAAGGGAATCCAGTTCAAAAGACTGGATGTTTTTAGGATCTGGGCACGTCAAGCTTTTCTCTTTGCACACGAGTATTTAGATGAGTTTTATGTTTTGTTTCTTATCTAGAAGTAAGTGAGAACACAAACGTGCAAACAGTAACAATTCACAACACCTTCCCCAAGACTTGGGAGATGGGAATAAAATTCTTCTTGAAATACAGGACAGTCTGACACAAGGCCCAAAAGGCTTGAGAAGAGAAATACCCCAAAAGCAAAGACAAAGACAGTCAAAATGTATTTCGCTTCCTGGGCGCTCCTTGACAGGATGATGCTCCTCAGACCTGCCTTCAGCCCACAGCCTGGTCTGGATGGATCCTCTGTCCTTAGGGAAGAAAGTTGCTGTTCCTGAGATGCAGCTCTCAGGAAAATGCCCAGGGAAGTGGTGGATTCTCCGTCCCTGGAGGTTTTTAAGATGAGACTGGATGTGGCATCAGTGCCATGGTCTGGTCACTGTGGCAGTGTTGGATCAAGGGTTGGACTGGATGATCTCAGAGGTCCCTTCCAACCCAGCTGATTCTATTATTCTATGACTCTGTGATTCTATGACTTCACCCTCCACATCCCTCCTGCAGCCAGTGGTGGTTCAAGACCATGTGTGTTAATAAATTCATCGAGTTTAGAAACCTGCAATGCCATTGGATAGCAGAGGGTGTTCTGCAGCTCTCAACTTGCAGGTCTCTTCCTTCTGTTATCAATTATATCAGTCAGTATATCAATATATCAATCTGCCAACATTCAATGCCTCACTGGTGATCAATGGCCATCATGAACAGTCCAAACCTTCCTGTCTCTCTGGGGATCTTGACAACTACTTGAGTGCATTTTAGGAGTCAAGGAGTAACTTGGTAACCTAAACACATGTGGACAGAGATATTTTAGGTGCCTTACATCATTTTCAGCTGCTGTTCATAAAGGTTTAAGACCCCCTAAGTCCCATGTCATATGTGCCAGCTCTATGGCGATGGTGTAGGAAGTTCTTTGGGATTAAAAATGATCCACCCCTGTACAGGCTTCTTACATTTCTCTGCCTGGGAACTTGGGTTTTACACCTTCCCTTCGTAGCAGATCCCTGGGATATTTGCAGAGTCTGTTTCCTTCCCTGAGCCCAAGGAGTCATCAGGAGAAACCCCTCTTACCCCAGCTCATTCCTTAGAGCTTCAGTGCCAGCACTGCACCAAGAACCATCATTTCCTCAAGAAGAATTTTCCACTGTAAATACCTGTTTCATCCCCCAATCTTAGTGAAGAACATCAGCAAAAAGCCTCTTACAAGACCTTGTGCTCCCCCTCTTCCACATCCATGATGGGGTCAGACCAGTCCAGCAGCCACTGGCAAGGTATGACTTGGTCATCGTGAAGTCCTTTCAAAGGCACTGGTACTTCTGCCTTAGTAGGGACAGACCTTGGAAACAGAGCAGCAGGACTGAGGGCTCTGATAGCTGGTGTCTCCAGCCGTGGTTAACACACTGACATGGACTCCTGGGATATGGGATGGTGGGCAGCTGGGGCTTGTGTACCATGGGAGAGCTGACAGCCAACCCTTTATCTGGGGATATTTGCTTTTACTGCTGGCACCATTTCTCAAATCCTGTTGGTGATACAGTGACCCAGCCCTGTGGATGCAGGGCTTGAAAGACACCACATGTGGGGACTGCTCCAGCCCTGTCTGAGGGAAGAGATTGAGCCATTAGAGAGTGTCCAAAGGAGGGAACGAGGATGGGGCCTTGATTTGAAGGCGTGTGAGGACACTGAGGGCACTTGGTGTGTTCAGCTGGAGAAGAGGAGACTGAGGGGAGACCTCACTGCACTTCCACCTTCCTGGGCAGGGGCAGAGGAGGGGCAGGGACTGAGCTCTGCTCTGGGGGGACCAGGGACAGCAGCCAGGGAATGGCCTGGAGCTGTGTCAGGGCAGGCTCAGGTTGGATCTCAGCCAAAGGTTCTTCCCCCAGAGGCTGGTTGGGCACTGCCCAGGCTCCCCAGGGCAGTGGGCACAGCCCCAAGGCTGCCAGAGCTCCAGGAGGGTTTGGCTGATCCTCTGGGCCACAGGGGGTGGCTCTTGGGGATGGGCCTGGGCAGGGCCAGGAGTTGGACTTGATGATCCTTGTGAGTCCCTTCCAACTCAGCACATTCTGTGGCTCTGTGAGGGCAGCCCTCCCTCTCCTGCACGTGTGGTCCCACTTCAAAGCCTCCCACTTGACATTAGTTGGGTTTTCCAGTCCCCAAGGCATCATTTCATAGAGATGTCAAACAAGGATGTTGTGACTCTTGGGGATCCGACGGACTTTGTTAGATTTTGTGAGCTGGAGCTTTCCAGCAGCAATTTAGTAAATCTTGACCCAGAACAGAAAAATCTACTTGAAAGAGGTACCAAAAAAAGTGGAAGCTTTTTCTTTTGCAATCCCTTAGGCATTTCTATTCCAGCTGCCTTTCACCAGTCCTTGAAGGAGGCTCTCAGCTCTCTTAGAAGGAATTTGGCTGCCTTCAAAAAGCCTGACTCATGTATCTACTCTCCAGCAACATTCCTGGGGTTTGAATACAACATTCCTGCCTTTGAATGAATGTTCAGTATATCCTCTTTTGCTAAAGCAGTGATGTGGGAAGCTCACTCTGGGGGAATGTTCTCTGTACACTGTTTTCTGTTCAGGCAGCTGCTGTGGAGCTGAACCTTTTCTTGTTCACTCCATTGTGTTTTTCCTTGTGACTCTCATGCCAAGGCTGCAAACACCAGGTATTCTTGGAGCTCTTCTCTTTCAGCTTTCCAGATCAAAGTAATTTTGTGAATCATCTGGACTTGTTGTGAGTTGGTGCTTCCTCTGGAAGGCTGCTCAGATTGCAAAGCACTTGGCAGGTTCCTGTGCCTTATTTCTTCTCTCTTGAGATACCTGAGTCAGAATCATTCAGTGCTTGTATTGTACTTAGTGCAGCCCTGGGCTGGCAGCTCCCACTGTTCTCCCTTCTCACCTCCCTTCTTTTATCAGGAATTGGGGTGCCATGCATTCCACCATGCCCACAGTGCCAGGCATTGCTCCTGAGGGATAACGCTGGAAGCCCAGCCTGCAGGTCCCCTCTACAATTATTTCATGCCCATTTTCCTAATGTAGTTTCCAAGTTGTTTGAATTAGCAAAATCACAGCTAATTGAAGCACAAGTCTGATGAGGAGCAGCTGAGGGAGCTGGGGGGGCTCAGCCTGGAGAGGAGGAGGCTCAGAGGGGACCTTCTCACTCTCTGTCACTCCCTGACAGGAGGGGGGAGCCGGGGGGGGGGGGGGGGGGGCCCCGCCCCCCGGGGTGGGGGCCGGGGGGGGGGGGGGGGGGGGGGGGGGGGGGGGGTGTCAGGCTCTGCTCCCAGTGATGGGACCAGAGAAAATGGCTTCAAATTGCCCCAGGAGAGGTTTAGATTGGATATTGGGAATTAAAGGGTCATCAAGCCCTGGCACAGGCTCCCTAGAAAAGTGATGAAGTTACCATCCCTGGAAGTGTTCAAAAAAACAAATGAATATGACACTTGCTGAACACGGTGGTGGTGCTGGGGTGATGATAATCTTTGAAGCCTTTTCAAACCTTAGTGAGTCTGTGATTCTGTGATAATTAACTGATTATTTGCAGTGGAATCTGCCTTTTTCTGAACAATAGTAGATGGTAAAGCTTTTTTCTCTCTGGCAGAGATTTTGTAGAAGAAAAGCTTGGCAGTAAATATGTGGTTGGGAGATCCCTGGATTTTGCAGCAACCTTTGAGGAGTCAGGACCTGCAACTCCAATGTTTTTTATCCTGTCCCCAGGAGTGGACCCACTGAAGGATGTGGAGAAACATGGTAAATAAATCCTGTCTCTAGGCATAGCACAGCATTGCTTTTTATCTGCTGCATAATTATCTTAGCATGACACTCCTGTTTTGTTTTGGCTTTTTTCCTCATCACTTTGTAGATAATGAAGTAATCTGTTAAAAATAGATAATTGTGAGAGCATAGGTTTTTGGGGTTTGTTTTGAATTTTTTTCTTAAAGTATTTTGGATTTTCATCTAAAGTTTAAATTAAACTTGTCTCCTTCCTGCATTGCCTGGATTCCCAGTGTGGTTCACGCCGCACCGATCTCCGGGTTGGGTTTGTACACAAGCCATGATTTACGTCAGAGATATCAAACACGCTGTCAGAGAGCTGCTTGTTGCTGAGAAAGGTTGAACCAGAGCACCCTTGAGGTCCCTTCCAACCTGCTCTTCTATGATTTTATGAGAACTAAAAACAAGCAGCATCTCCCTGTAACAGACTGTGCTTAGTGGTGGAGTTTCCAGTTTTTATCTCCATCTTTCCTGAGTTGTTTTCGTTGTGGATGGTCAGATATGGAGCTGTCAGCTACCTCCAAAGCCAAAAGGATTTGTGTTTTCTAGGCAAAAAAATTCAGGAGTATATTTAGATTTGTTTATTGTAGAATGTGAGTTCTGCAATATGGTTTCCTGTCAAGGAGTTTGGCGAAATCTTCCTGAGAGTGGGGAGGCCCTGGCACAGGTTGCCCAGAGAAGCTGTATCTGCCCCATCCCTGGAAGTGCTCAAGGCCATGTTTGACGGGGCTTGGAGTAACCTGGGATCATGGAGGGTGTCCCTGCTCATGACAAAGGGTTGAATAAGATGGTCTTCAGGGTCCCTTCAAACCCAAACTGTTCACAGAATCTCAGAATCCCAGAATATGCTGAGTTGAAAGGGACCCACAAGGATCATTGAGTCCGACTCCTGGCCCTGCACAGGCCCATCCCCAAGAGTCACCCCCTGTGCCCCAGAGGATCAGCCAAACCCTCCTGGAGCTCTGGCAGCCTTGGGGCTGTGCCCACTGCCCTGGGGAGCCTGGGCAGTGCCCAACCAGCCTCTGGGGGAAGAACCTTTGGCTGAGATCCAACCTGAACCTGCCCTGACACAGCTCCAGCCATTCCCTGGCTGCTGTCCCTGGTCCCCCCAGAGCAGAGCTCAGTCCCTGCCCCTCCTCTGCCCCTGCCCAGGAAAGTGGAACTGCACTGAGGTCTCCCCTCAGTCTCCTCTTCTCCAGCTGAACACACCAAGTGCCCTCAGTGTCCTCACACGCCTTCAAATCAAGGCCCTTCCCCATCCTCGTTCCCTCCTTTGGACACTCTCTAATGGCTTCAGATCTTCCCTAGGTTGTGTCCCCCCAAACTGCCTCAATGTTGCAGGTGAGGCTGCCCCAGGGCAGAGCAGAGCAGGATGACTTCCTGGAGAAGGCAGTGACCCTCCCTGTGCACCTCCAACTGCAGCCGCTGCCTGTGCTCTAAAGCTCACAATGTGGAGAATTTATTCTGGATCTCAGCTCCACTGTGGAAAAACTACAGTTTTCAGCCTGAACATCCCTCTGAAGCAGAGGGGAGAGATGTCTTTGGACACTGGGCTGCCCCACATTGCCATTCTGCTCATCAGGTGTCTTTTCTCCTTCCCCAGCAATGTGCTCCACATATATCCAAGCCCATGACTTGGCCTTCAGCCCTGATGGTCCTGGCACTGTGTGAATCACATCCCAGCCATAGCAGAGTTGCTGGCTGCTGTTTAATGGGTTGGTCTCAGGACTAAACACCATCAAGGCTGGCAGCCCTATCAGGGACCAGTCCCTCTGAACTCAGCCAACACCCAGGGGATTGGTGTGGGAACGCTGACCTGTGAGTTCTTTTTCCTCTCTATGATGCACCTTCTGGGTCATCCCAAAATAATATTTGAGTCAGTCTTTACCCGCATGGCCACAAGCAGCTGTCAGAGCTTTTAAACCCTGGTGCAGCTTCAGCCACAGGCACCTCAGCTCATGGGGAGTTCCTGGGCTGTGCCTTGTGTTTCAGGCTCTTTCTGCCCCCAAACCAGGTGTCATTATTGGGAATTAAAGGCACCCACCCAAGGAAACTCCTATCATGGTCCTGGCTTCCCTTCCCTTTGCCTGGGTCATGTTGGTGATCCTGTCTCTCACTGTGTTATTTTCTTATCTGGGAAATGAAGCACTAAAATACAAATGGCTTAATTGGAATCGTAAAGCTGAGTATAGCTGAGCACCTGGGGTTAGTCAGCCAGAACAGCTACAGCAAGAAAAAGTGGGAAAAAGTAACTAGTGAAATAACATCATTGCTACAGAGCAGCTGCACTGGCCCTCACTGCCCAGCTGAGGGTGGGCTGGGTTGACTCTTGGTATTCCCTCTGTCCTTCATTAGGATTTATTAAAGTGCAGCTCTGGCCAGATAATCCTTGGGAATGAAAGTTGGCTTCTTCCACGTGCTGCTTCTCATAGCACCTTTCCTTGACAACATGGTGAGGGCCCTGCAGCAAACACTGGGGGCTCAAAAAGCTTCCCCACATCCTGGGGCAGCCTGGGTGCCTGACCCCTCCTCTGCAGCCAGCACAGACCCTCTGTTATCCCTCTCAGTCCTGTTCCCATCTGGGAAGTGGAAATAACAACTGATATTTCTTATTATTAATCCCAAAGTTTGGGGGACTGTCCTGCCTTCTGTGATTTGCCCCATTCCCTCTTGAGTGGCTGGGTCTTGAAGGCACAGGAGGAGATTAGAGGCTTTCAAAGTTGGCAGCAATCAGAGATGGTGGGAAAGAGAAGTGGGAACTCTAAAAATGGAGAGAGCTGTGTCACAGGGGTCTGTGGGAAGGCTTAGCAGAGAGCTTGAGTTTGGATGGTTGTTTTCCATCTGTTTCCAATGTTGTAGCACGAGATGGTTCCTAAGGATCACTGAAAGGATCTCTGGCACTGGGATGCTACAGGGAAATCAGAGGAGTCTGAAGAATCCTCACAGTCTAAAGGAAGAAACACTAAATGACTAGATCCTCCCTCCAGGGCAGGGTAGTAAATGACATGGATTTTGGGATTCCCAGCCTGCACATGCAGAGGGATGTAGGAAGGGCAGTGGGAAATGGTCTGAGTGTCTCCTGGACCTCCCCTTCCCATGGACTTTGCTGCTCTCCACTGACCCTGGGCCTTCACACACACCTGCCCAGGATGCTCCATGAGGAATCTGGAGGGCTGACTGTCCTCCATATTCAAGGCACCTAGGAGGCCTTTCCTGAGGCCACAGGAAGCTCACACAGATTTCATGCACCTACCTTCTCAAAACCAAAGGTGTTCCTAGCCTCCCTGCTGCACCCAACCCACCTCACAGGGGCCTTTCCCCACTCAGCTGGGGGTGTTCAAAGCCCATTTTATCAGCAGGAAAAGATGTTCATTTCTTATCACTGTGAAAGGTGTTTTTACACGAGGTTGCAGGGGAATAATGTTCTTAAAACAAGAAGCACTTTGTAACAAGGTACCTTTGTGTTGATGCTGTGCTGTAATTAAGAGTTTGGAAGAAGCTGCTGCTGTTTGAGCACTTGGGCAAGGAGTGGGTGAGAGCGAAGAGAATGAGACAAGAGAACTGGTCTCAGGACAGCTCTCCCCTTCTGGGAGGGTTTTTGGGCCAGGGAGCTCTGCCCAGCCCTGCCAGGCAACAGTGCTCAACTCACTCCTTGCTTTCTTTCAGGGAAGAAACTTGGCTTTACATTCAACAACAGGAACCTCCACAATGTGTCCCTTGGACAAGGCCAAGAGGTGGTTGCTGAACAAGCTCTAGATCTGGCTGCAAAGGAGGGGCACTGGGTCATCCTTCAGGTAGGGGGTTGTTGGACAGCCCTGCCCTTCTGCCAGGCTGTCCCATCCTGATCCATTTGTGAGGGCACATCATTCCTGGCTCGGGGAGATGAGCCAGGGTGTCTCCTGTGTGCCCAAAGCAGCCCCTTCTCCCCGTGTCCTGCTGCAATCCATTGCTTTCCCCAGGCACTGTCAGTCTGGTTTTCCTCTCTGGGGTGTGCAGTTGTGGGGAGGCCTCTGAGGGAGGTTGTGCTGCACTTCCTTGTTCCTTGATTTGGTTCATGAATAAATGAAGGGCTCTGACCTTCAGAGCTGGACTCGTTCTCTGCCTGCTGCTCAAAATCCACCCTATATTGTAGTGAGCTGAGGACCCACTCACTGAAGGGAAGGCAGAGCCTCTCTGCAGTGGGGCTGCTTCCTTGGTGCACCCCAAACCAGAGGAATGTTTGAAGCTCTTATCACAGCTCAACAAAATGCTTCAGAGCCTGGGAGAGTGTGGAGGGAGCTCTGTCTCTGTCAATTGCTCTCTGGAGCCACAATTATTTAGTGAGTGCCTGGGTTTGTAATGTGCAGTCAGTGATGTCAGCTCTCATTATAGGTCCTGGGAACCCCTCTGATTTCCTTGATGTGGATTATATAAACTTCTAATATCACTGAATTTTCTGCATAAAATTAGATTAAGACAAAGCTTTGAGCCCTGATCTGAGCCTGCAGGCCTGAGTTTCAATTGAAATTAAATGCCCTTGATATTTTGATCTTAATTTTTGCCTTTTTTTTTTTCTGCAAGCTCCCACTAAGGTAAACAATGCTGAGCTTCTAGAGAGCTTTTCATACAGAGAGCTGCAATAGTGGCATCTGCTTTGAGGTGGTGAACAAGGAAACATGCACTTTTTGAGCCCTATTCCATTCAGTAATGCAAAATGAAGGGTTCTTTTCTCCAATGATGGTGTGATGCTGTGGAGGATCCATCAGCAGTGTCAGCCTCCATGTGTTGTTTCAATGCTAACAGATGAGCACCGAGGGACTGAAGGGTCTTTATTTCATCCATTCCCACCTTCTCTGGTGGTCAGAGCAATCAGTAAGGTACTGAAGGTTAAATTGGAAGAAGTTCTTGGCTGTGAGGCTGGTAGAGCCCTGGCACAGGTTGCCCAGAGAAGCTCTGGCTGCCCCATCCCTGGAAGTGTCCAAGGCCAGGTTGGACGGGGCTTGGAGCAACCTGGGCTAGTGGAAGGTGTCCCTGTCCATGGCAGAGGGTGGAACGAGATGAGCTTTAAGGTCCTTTCAACCCAAACCATTTAAGGATTCTATGATTAAATCAGAAGAACTGCAGAAATTAGATTTCTGTAAGAGAACAATATTGAGGTTGGGCTGGCTGGTTTTCCAGCAACACCTGCCAGGTGTGACTGTCTCTAGTGGCCCAGAGCAGGTTCCCCCTGAGCTTGGAGAGGAGCTCAGCTGCAACAGGTTCTGATGGAAACTCTGTGGGACAAGCCCAGCACTCACACATGGCCATGGAGACAGGCTGCCTGGTGCCAGTGCTGGGTCTCTTCAGGGTCAGTCAAACATCTGGCATTTCCTCTGGTGTGGTCACAAAATATGTAAATATTCCAGTTCTTGCTGTGTTTGGTTTGGAATAATGGGATACGGGCAGGACTGACTCAAGACAGAGCCTTGTTTTTATAGTCACAGGCCTCCTGAGCAATCCAGGTAGTGAGAGCCCCACAGGGAGCTGGGGTCATGCCTTGGTGATCTCAGGACAGCCCTGGACACACCAGCAGGTGTTTGGGGCTGGCAGCACCAGTTTCAGCATTTGGTGACTGGATCAGGCTCATGGAGGGACGGACAGCAAGGCAATGGCACTTCATTGTCACCCAGACTGGCCAAGCTGCCCAGCTCCAGAGCCTGGCTCTGTGTCTCACTATGTGTTCCCATCTCCTTCCAAGGCCTGGAGCTTCATGGAGTATGAGAAAGAGGGAGAGCAGCCTGAGGGGCCAGACATGTGTCCCCTACACTGACAGACAAGACCCCTCTGGTCTACAAAACTCCTTTATGGCCAGCAGACTTCCACCTGGCAGGAAAGCACCCTCTGAGCAAACTGTTTTAGAAGGTTGGACAAACCATTTTCTCAAGGGTGAAAATCTGACCTCTGGTAAAATTTGTATCCAAACTTATCACAGTGGAACTCAGTGGGAAGGGTCCCAAAGAGGATTCTCCTGCCACCTCAGTCAGAGGTGGATCATAGCAAGTCTTTGCCAACAGGTAGTTTATTTGGCAAAACCTTTCCTGCAAGGCTTTTGATGACAAATACCTTGTAAACAGTTTCAAGGTTGTTTGCACAAGATCTGGAAGGACACAGGCAACTCAACTTACAAAAATGTTCCAGGATTTGTGGATCATTGCACTGAAAATAAAAGAGAGGACAAGGCAGATCTCAAGAGGCACTCAGGGTAATTTTACCCAGATTAATTAAACTCATTATTTGAAGGCTGTGTCCCACCAATAGAGCGGTTTTATTTAGGCTTCCCCTTTGTTTTTGAGCAGACAAAAAGCAACTGCATTTTGCTATCCTTGGACACTACCCCAGAGCTCCTCTTCCAGCCCCTAAACTGGCTTTGTGCTGTCACCTCACACACGTTCTCCAACGCAAACACTTGAGAGGATCATCTGGTGGCTTTTACACACACATTGCATTACTGGCCCTCAATTGGAACCAGAAATAATGAGAGTCAACTGCAATAATGAGTTGGGGAATTAGGTTTGTGAGAATTGGTTGATAAGGGATATTGAGGCAGTTGGAAAGTTCTTATTGGATATAGAAGCAGGATCACTGCTGTGTGTTGGGAAGGGCTACTGTCCCAGGGCCAGTTCCTTCTCAGTCAAGTTGCCTGACATGGGAGGAGGCAAAATAAAGAAAAGAGCATCCATGTCTGCCCTGAGAACTGTGAAGTTTCTCAGCTCACTGAAAATGGAGATGTTTATAAATGATTGATTTTATCAGAGAATACAGCAGAAAGCCACCCAATCATTCATTTCCATGAGAAGAACATCAGTCACACTGGCAGAGCCTGAGCAGCAGCTCCCTTAGCACCAGAGTTGTACCTGTGTGGTAGCTGGAGCTCTGCTGAGCCCAGCACAGCCTCCACACTGGGGATGATACAGATGAGGAGAGAATGAAGCCCACAGTTTAAATTATTCTCTACAAATACAGATGTTCCAACTACAGAATAGGAGCAAAAGTACAGTTGCGTAAAGGAGAACTCGTTACTCAAGGGCTGCAGAGACAAACCCAGCCCAGGCCCAGCAGCTGCTCTCCCCTAAGTTGTTGGCATTGAAGAGGAGGCTGGTCTTTTAGCTCCACAAAAATCCATTTGACAGCAGGTCCAGCCTCTGGGTCTCCTTAGAAACAGTTCATAGGCTTGGAGGGCTGGAAAGCAGATATTTTTGGCCATAAAAAGGGCACAGACTTTGGGTCTGATACTTTCACTTCAGGTGTGTGCACCATTCAACCACTCAGCATTGAGCTTCTGGTGTCACCTGTAAGAGGTAGTTTGAAGTGTTGGTCAGGACCGGTGGGAATGGGTCAGTGTGGAGGTAGGACAACAATGAAATGACAACTTGGAAGGCTGAAGAAAGTTTTACATAGATTTAGATTTTAGTATCATATTTTTCTCAAGACCCTTTTTGTTGCCAGGAGGATTTGGACCTGCCTTTAAGTAAATCCTTTTCCTAACTGTGGTGTTCACAATCTGATCCCAGAGTCTGCTGAGTTGGAGGGACCCACAAGGGTCATCCAGTCCAACTCTTGGCCCTGCACAGGCCCATCCCCAAGAGTCACCCCCTGTGCCCCAGAGGATCAGCCAAACCCTCCTGGAGCTCTGGCAGCCTTGGGGCTGTGCCCACTGCCCTGGGGAGCCTGGGCAGTGCCCAGCCAGCCTCTGGGGGAAGAACCTTTGGCTGAGATCCAACCTGAGCCTGCCCTGACACAGCTCCAGCCATTCCCTGGCTGCTGTCCCTGGTCCCCCCAGAGCAGAGCTCAGTCCCTGCCCCTCCTCTGCCCCTGCCCAGGAAGGTGGAACTGCAGTGAGGTCTCCCCTCAGTCTTCTCTTCTCCAGCTGAACACCTCAAGTGCCCTCAGTGTCCTCACAGGCCTTCAAATCCAGGCCCTTCCCCATCCTCGTTGCCTCCTTTGGACACTCTCTAATGGCTTCAGATCTTCCTTACATTGTGGTGACACAAATGCCTGGTGACAGAGCAGTTCCAGAGCAGGTCAGACCAAGGCTCACCTTTGGTGCCCCTCAGCAGCAGGGTCCCAACACATGTCCCCAGAGAGCTGATCCCAGGGCTGTGGAGCTGCAGTTCTATACCTGGTTATTATGTTGCTTCATCACTGCAAGACGGAAACATCAGGAAAAGTGGACCCTGAAACTGTGAGAGGAGTTTTCAAGTCTTTATTCAGACCAGCAGCAGTCATGGATCTACCACCAGGCTGAGGGTGTGAGGGAACGTGGGGAGGGTGCTTCTGACCATCCCCACTCCTAGAAGTGTTAAAGTACCATGAGTGGGAGTCAAGTCACAAAATATCTCCAGGAATCACAGCTCTTACATGACCAGTTTCCCTCTTCTGCACCAGTCAGTGTTTCTTGTCTTTTGGTCCTTTTTCATTTTCATTTTTTAATCTTTATTTTTTCCCTCATTAGCTAACACTTCTAGCAAAAAGGGTTGTTGGGTTTTTTGGTTGTTTTTTTTTTTTGCAGGGGGAACAGCAAAATTTTGTTTTTCATGCTTCAAGTATCAATTCAGAGTCTTTGACTGTTCTAAAATATCTCAAAGAAAAGAAGAAAGAAACAGGAAAAAAAGAAGTTTTTTCCTGGTAATCTGGTCTAGCAAAAGGTGTCCCTGCCCATGGCAGGAGGGTAGGACAGGATGAGCTTTCAGGTCCCTTCCAACCCAAACCACTGTGTGATTCTAAGTTTCAGAAGCCAGTCTTTGGCTTGTAGGTCTCAGCTTTGACAAATTGACAT